TTGTGTTTTACCTCCCAGATAAAAAATGAAAATAAAATTGTCTTAAAGAGCATAAAACAATTATATCAAATTTTATATTATTTCAAAAATTTTAACCTATATTGGCTTATTGTAATTTTAAAATGCTACTATTGTAGAATTTGGTTATATTTTTCAAAATATAATTTATAATAAAAAAAGGTTTACATGAAAATAATAATAATAATAATAATAAATTTAGAAAAAAAACCCCACCTGGTTTTATTTTGAAGTTAAACTAACGTCTTTGTAATTTTTTTCTTGTTATATAGTAAAATTAACCCATATTGATTCATATGAGTTTACTATAATCTATTTGGATTACCGTAAAATCCGGAGTATAACGCACTTCTTGACACAAAAAATAAGATCGAAATTTACGGGTGCGCATTATGCGCCAGGTATAAAAATGATAGTTTCAAAAAAAAAAAAAAAAAGAGATGTGCATAAAAACTTATGCAAAGATCGGAATACTGTTTATTTAAACAAAATGTCATACCTTATGAACTTAAAGGGTGGTTTTTCTAGAATTATATATATATATATACTATTTTTTCAAAATCTTTGGATAATATAAAAAACTCGAGGTTTTTTTTTTTAAAACTTCAAACATTTTGAATTTTTTTTTAATTGCAAACTAATGAATAGTCAGTATGACTCTTTATTTTTAGAATGAATTTAAAAATATGATCTGAAAATGAAAATAAATTATTTTTACTATTACTTTATCTTCAATTTTTTTTGTTTTTGATTTTGAAAACGGGTATTATGAAGCCTTAAGTATTGAATTTCAGTGGCATAGAGCTTGTCTAATAATTCACACTTAGATTTTTTAAAAAAGTAAAATTATATAAATTTAAAAATGGTTTAAATTTGGCTAATTTATTAATTGTCAAGACAGTTCTGTGCAATTTGATACGTTTTGAATACATCAAAAATGGGAGAAGATTATGAGTCATTGAATGAGCTGCTTCCGATAATAATTAACTTAGATCGAGTTTGTTTTTCAATTACAGAGGACAAAAACTTGTTTATCACAGAAACTAGGACATTAAAATTGGTTCTTTTTTTAAAACACGTTTTTTTTTTTTTTTTTTTTTTTAAAAAAAAAAAGATAATTTTTTCTGTTTTTTTTTGGAAAGAAGAACTAGGTCATTACAATTGCCAATTTTGTGCATTAACATTAGTTTTGACATAAACATTATGTGTTATGAAGATAGGAGCTCACAATGATAGATTACGTAATTCTCTGCAAGAGTCATTGCATCCGAAAAAAGGGGAGGGGACTCCCATTATCACATAAGGAGGTATTTTATCTCAATGAATTGTATGGTAAATAAATAAGTGGAGAAAAATAAATAATGAAATTTCCAAAATTGTTTTATTTAATTCTTTTTTACTATTTTTTTAATCAAAAACTAGGCATGTATTTCTAAAAACTACTGAATTGTATTTTCCACATCAGTAATAGAAGATGATACGTATATACTAAGACAGTTTATGTTTAGTTTTAGTTTAAATTTACAATGAAATCACAATTAGAAATTAACAGGAGTAATTATGGATTAATACTGTACTGAGTTCAGTATTGTTCTGAAAAGTATAGGCGGCTAAAGATGGAAAAAAATGAAGTGTTCCCTCGTTAAGGTTTGAGGGTAGAACCAAAGGTTCCGTAATCACGTAACTTACCGCTGAACTAAAATGATCACTTCAGTCCGGAGGCTGTTACAGGCTTATATAGATACCACCGCCACACACTCCCCGGCCAGTGAGTTGGTGGATAGGCGAACGAACGATACAATTGATATGGCGAGAGTGTGAGTTATTGCTGCTGCGTCAAGTGGGTTTTGACGGCTTGAGTGTAGCGTCATGTGATCTGACGGCTTGCTGTGGTGCGTCATGTGTGTCTGGCGGTTTTTGGTTGCTCTTGTGGTGGATTGAGGGAGCCACGTCTGCAGATCAGAAGGTTGCGTGTTCAGATCACATCCGGGTCACCAATGGAGGTAGTACTCGGGACCTTTGGTTCCGTAAGCACGTAACTTACCGCTAGACTAAAATGATCACTTCAGGCTGGAGGCTGTTACTGACTTATATAGATACCAACGCCACAGGTTTTAATTTTTACAAATGTCAACGATTCTCTGCACAAAAATAGTACACAGTAGTGTCATAAAATTCTAGACAAAAAATGAAATAGGATCTCAAAGTAGAACCTTTTATTGTCCGTTGTACGAATTTTCACAGTAATACCAGAATCATGATGAAGTTCCGTTTGTATCCAGTGGTCATGGTCACCAACTCACTAGTGGCATTATTTCTGTAAAGTCATGGTTTCGAATCCTGATGTATCTGAAGATCAAGCGTACCGAGAGGCTGATGTGTGTCAAATCTGGTGAGGCACAAAGTTCTAACGTTAGCGTGGTGGAGAAGTATGGAGAATTGGGGACCAGCTCAAATGTCATCCTCATCACTTGACTGTTGTTCAAAATTCTGAAGTCCATTGTCAATAGTTTTTGTGTTGCTTTGAAATGTGTCTTTAATAAACAAACAGCAAGCTATAACTCTGTATCCAGTCACACGAGAATTGGTCGTTAGGGTTTAATTTAAAATGGGACAAATCCCTCAGAAAAACTATTTCCCAGAAAATATAATTTTTGCAGAGTTCTATTTATTTTATTATAATTTTGCAGAGTTTTATCTGAATGCGAAATATTTCTTTGTACTTGTCAATTTTCAATGCACAATTTTTCAATACTTTGTGCCTTGTTCTATCGAAAGGAACTTTTGTTTTATTTGAAGTTATATTAATATCACTTAACAATCTGGAACTAGATTTATTTATTTTGTCAAAAAATATACACCATCAAAAGTTATAGTATGCTACAAAATGATGAGATTTTTATAAAAATCTGTTATAAAACATAATTTTTCCTAACCAATTCTTCCAGTTTTATAAAAATCATTTTGTATGAACCTATATATTGAAATAGAATACATTCAGTAGCTTACACATCTATCTGAAGGAGGGGGTGGGAATGGGGGGGGGGTAAATATTTTAAAAAACTTATTGGTGAAAGCACCGAGGCATAAAATCTGTAGTAAAAATTAAAAATCTGTTGGTTTATGGGGACGTTGAACCCCCTAATTTCAACCTTGTGTACGTCACTGAATACATTTGTATCCGTACCACATAATTTTGATTTCAAGTTATTAAAATTAGAAATACAATCTCTGACAATAAATTTCGGTGAATGAAATCAGAACTGCCGATCTGGCAACACTGGCGAAACAAAACGCTGCACATGTATAGTGGCTGGTGTTGTCCACCGTTGCTCAGTTAAGACTCATTTGTGTTCCGTGTAAAACTTGTTTTGCAAAGGGCTTGTTTAGTACGTTGGTTCTTAACTGAGAACAGGAAAAGGAACGGACAAAAGATCAATTTTAATGTTTGTTTTAAGCTTGGCAAGACACCAGAGGAAACATGCGATGCTGGCTTGCCAGTTACTAGTGGCTTGCCAGTTTTCGAAAAACAGGGAAGTGCTTGTGACAACCCCCGTAGCGGAAGACTGGTGACCTCAGTCAGTGACGGAAACATTGAGAAAGTGAGGAAAATAATCACTAAAGATCGTCACTTGACTGTACGCGTGATAGCTGATGAACTGCAGATTAACCGTGAATTCGTGCGACAAATTGTTACCCAGAATTTAGGGATGAGAAAAACGTGTTATCGATATTCCTAACATCAACGAAACATGACGAGGTTTTTGGAATCCATCCCAAAAGAAGACTTCTTGCAAAATTTCCAGGACATGTGTAGCAGATCTGAATTGTGCATATTTATAGGAAGTGACCATTTCAAAGGGCCGTAAGGTAACTTTTGTTAATATTTCATCTACGTTGATGATACATAACTATTCACCAAACTTTTTTGTCAGAGGTTGTTCATAAATTCGGTCAAGTGATTGATTGCTTATTTACTCCTTCCTGGGAATAAAACATGAGGGCTATTGCAAACGGGCATCGTAATTTTGAGCCCCAGCCAAATAATGAAGATGACACCTGAAATAGCGCTCAACTCTCCAAGCTTCCATGCTACAACCACTCAAGGCACCAAACTCAACTTGCATAAGCCTCACTACTCGACGAGTCTCGAGTAACATCGGAACTCGTATCCTCGACTCGAATGTAACAACTTCACGACGAAAAAATACTTAAATTGATAATTAGAATAATTTTATACAATAAAATGATGTCACAATCTATGACGATGGTCCTGAATGTGTAGTGCAATTTCTTAAATATTTATGAATGCCACAGTCTTAAACTTATGATGTTTTCAAGTTTAATCATATAAATGAAAACAAAGGCCTTTATTTTTTTTGCCACATGATCTCTTTATATACATTGAGAACTATATAAACAATCATTTCTAATCCACAGAATTTTTTTGGTTATGTTTAAAGCAGGATTGTGTAGCTAAGTGTCTATATAATCTATCTTATGAGTTACAGTAGGTTGTGATTTTCCATTATTATTATTCCATTTATATCCTGAAGCATTATTTTTGCACTGAAATAAATATTTGCTTAACCTTAGTTTATATTTTAGATAAAAAGGAATAAACTTTGCAATACTATATTCGTTTATAAGAACGCAGAGGTTGGCAAGTCATTTTATTTATCCTCTATGTTAAACAAACAAGTAAAAAAAAAATAAAGTCAATTACTACTTAGGTCAACAAAGACAAATTTTATTTTAGTTACTTTTTATTAAATAGTTACAATTAATATAAATATGTATATACATATGACAGAATCACAGTATTAAGCAACAAAATAGAAAGCGATTTTCCTTGCAATTTTCCATTCTATATAGGGTGTTGGATTATTATTTTGTTTGTTACTATTTATTCATTAATTAAATTTAACTATTCCAATAAAATAGCACAAAATAAAAGGAAATCACATTCTCAGAAATTAGGCCATCCCAGGTGGGATTTTAATCCACGACCTTTGGATTAGAAGTCCAAAGCGCTGTCCATTGCGTCCAACCCGCGAGATTTTCCTTTTAAAATATGGTGTTGGATTATTATTTTTGTTATTTTTGTGTGTTATTTTTTATTAATTAATTAAAATAGAATTAATGAATTAATATTTGAAAAAACTGTATTAACATCAAGTGTCATCTACTACAAGTTTAAAAAAATGTATTTGAAATTGAGTGGATGAATAAAAAGTATTTTATTAAAGTTTGAAAATTTGAACAAGATATAAATACTCATAAGGAGAGTGTGAACTAGTAGCAACAATTGTGAAAAATCGAAATACTTTCAACAGACGCTTGCTACATCAGCCATTCTACGATAGGCGAAAGTTCAACAAAAGCTAACTTTCATTGTTTTAGCATATTGCTAAGAAACGCTATTCATTTATATATTGGACTCCTGCCCTGGTACACAGAGATATATCACAAGGGAAAAGAAACCTTGTCCTTCTTCAAAAAGAATCGATCACCAAAGATTGCGACAACATAAGGTAACCCTACTTAATCAAAAATAGATATATTTCCCTCAAATATGCGTCGATTTTTTGGATCTTTGAAACAAATTGTTTTCACCTTTCTTTGTTCTTTACCTGAAGATAATGAAGTTTTGTTTAGAGAAATTGAGAGCAGTTGCTCCAGATATATCCGCTCTTTTTATCGGATGATGCATTGGAGTGCTAATTTTTACGTACTTTATCTGTTTCTGTTGTATCACGTGTATTATGACTGAAACAGTACGTTAACAGTATTTTATAGAAGAGACGCTACTGGTTTCGTACAGTAAATACGCATGATATTGTGAATAGTGTATGTTAAGGAAGTTTAACTTTCTAGACGTATAAGTATAAATGCATCACCATAGCAAACTATGTTTATACGTGAGTTGCTCTTTTTTCGTAAATATTTATTTTGTTGGATTCCATTGAATGTAGTAAATTATATTGGAGGAAAATATTAGAAAAAATTATAGCATTTTAAAAAGCATTATTTAACGTGTATTTTAATAGATTTTCATGTACCTTTGGGGATTAAATATTGAATAGAATCGTTAGTAAATATATATATAAATATCATACATTGTCCATTACATTCTTCAAACTGGAATTCTTATAAAATTGCAAGAATATTGTCATCAGTTTTTTGAATCATCATTTTTTCCAATGGTGTTATTTAAAGAATGGCAGAATATATTAAAAAAATTTATAGTGAAGAATCCAAATTTAAATATCTGCGTGATTTTGAAATACTTGGAGTAACTAAAAATTTATTAAAAGGCTTAATGTAAAGAAAAAAAATTCTTCAACTTACACAAAAATCTTTAAGGCCCTAAAATGTAAATGTGCCTAAGATTTTGGCCTTAAAAATGTTTTTTAAATGTTTAATTTTATAACATTTCATTATTCATTTTAATTTTAGCAAAAAAAAAGAAAAGAAGTAGTCAGTGGTAATTCAAGATTTTTTGCTATGATTTTTTTGTATGCATGGATTTATGTGAAATTTCTGACCAGGCATTGTTAAGAATATTTTATTTAAAATTAAACTTAAATTAAAAGTAAAAATGATAAGGATATTAACAATACAAATAATTATAAATCTGTGTTTTATATAGTTATAAATTCACGTTTCCTAAAGAAAATTGTAATTAGAGAATTTCCTACTTACTTGTCGAAAAAGCCTTTCATTTACTCAAGGTATCCGACTACGTTCGAAACCGTGATTTTAAAAAGACGCATAAATGGATAATTTTCATGATATTTAGTGTCACTTAGATTAGAATACATGTATAAAACTGTTTTAAGGACATTTTGACAAAAAAAAATTATTTAAATACAATATTTCGATTAAAAATTAACTTAGAATAGCTTTTTTTCAAAATGTTCTCCTTTTGTGAAAAATACATCTATTATAATAATATTTTGCCTGTATATAGCTCAGATCTCTCTACAGAGGCTCAACTATGATTTTTGAAAAATTCACATTATTTTCAGAGTTAAAACCAATTGAAATATTTATCGGCGTTTTTTTTAAAAAATGTCTCCCCTATGTTGTCGTAAAACATGGATAAACCCACTTCTAAGTTATATGTTTCAAAAATTCTAGTTGAGCCTCTGTACAGAGGTCTGAGCTATGTACAGGCAAATATTATTATAATAGAAGCATTTTTCACAAAAGGAGAATATTTTGAAAATGGCTCATTCTATGTTATTTTTTTGTCAAAATAGTGTACTTAAATAGTTTTTTATTGTAATAATATTCTTAAAATAATTTTTATACAGTTTCTAATCTAAGTGACACTAAATATCACAAATATTATCCATTTATACGCTTTCGCAAAATCACGGTTCCGAACGTAGTCGGAAACCTTAAATAATGTATAAATTTCGTAAACATAATAAAATTGTGATACTATTTTGTGTTCATAATGAAAAATATTTTTTTATCGTATTACAGTTATTTTTCATACTATTAGATAATTATTTATCAGTAATTAACGGTAAAAAGAGATTGGTTTTCAGGTTACAATGAAATATATTATTGAAATGTTTTGAAATAATATTGCTATGCAATTTAAAGTATTTTTATTTTTCTATCAGAATGGGGTACTCAAATAATACTAAAAGTGAAATCTTCATAAGAACTATTATATATAAATATAAAACATTGAGATAATAATTAAATGTATAAAAAGTTTTCTTGATTTTTGTGACATGAAAATTTATATAAGTTACAAATAAATTATAGCACGTGTATCTAAGTTTAATTAATAACTCCCTCATATATATACAAATGAGGGAGTTACATATACTGTGCCATAAATTGTTAATAATATAATATAATAGCTAATAAGTTTAATATATGACTTAAATATATACTATCTTATTGTATTTCTATTTTTGTTTTGATTATTTATAATTATAGCTATTTTGTATATATAATTATTATTATTGATTAATATATATATATATATATATATAATAACATTTAATGATTTAAATATTTAATTGAATGTTATAATTGTATATAATTTGCTTACTTTTCAGTTATTTTTAAAATCTTTACTTTTAAGTTCTTAACCTTCACGCGTATATCTTTACATTCCATTCCGTCGGACAATTCAATGCACATTACATTGCTTTCGATGCGTGATATATTTATGCACACATTTTGTCAAGAATGTTAGAACTATTATTTTTAGACAATACATATAAATACATGGTTCAAATAATCCTGTTAGCTGGGGAAAAAAAGGAAAAAGTATAGCATATTTTCAAAATATTCTCCTTTTTTTTATCGAAAATGCTTCTGTAATAATAATATTTTTCTTATATATAGCTAAGATCTCTCTACATAGCCAGAATTCTGATTTTTGAAGAATTCACAGTTACTTTCAATCCAAATAATAACCGGTGTTTTCCGTTAAAATTTCTATGTTCTGATAAATTAAAATATGAATAAATCCACTTCTAAATTATGCAACAAAAATACTAGTTCAGGTCCTCGAGAACAGTATGAAAAAAATTTTACCGAATTTTATATAAATATATGAAAACCATTTTGAGTTGCCCCTCTTTAAAAATAGTAATTTTTCGAAAAATATAGTTTTTTTAGAAAATGAACTTATATAGACAAAAATTATTTATATTAAAAATTATATATTAAAATTATAGTAATATGTTTTCAATTTTTTTTGAAAAGGCAGTAAATGTTTTTTTAAAAATAGAAGAAAAAGTGAATGTTTATGAGAAGATTTCAACTTCCGGTTCTAGTTTGAAATCATTCCATTAAAGCGCTTCTTATTTCATCTATATGAGTCGTAGCTTCAAGAGAAAGGAAGCTTTAGAAAGTTAAGATTCAGTGGCGTAACGTACATCCCAGCAACTTCCACATCACTGAGGGAGGGGGCAGGATTCTAAGGGGCCAAAGCCTAACTGACGCCGAGTACGGCAAGGGGCCCTAAACCGGACTTTGCAGGGGGTCCTAATATTCTCGGTTACACCATTCCTAAGATTTCAAATATTTTATTGCATAAAAAGGTCAATATTTCTTCGAAGGTTAATATTTGCTTTTCAAAAGAAAGTGGATAAATTGATGTAATCAGAATGCACGACATAAATTGGTTAATTCTTTTAACATTTGATAAGGGGTAATTTTTTAATAAGGTAGACATGAACTTTAATTGGTTCGTATTAAAATTAAAAATATGTGTGAATCATAAAAGAGAGATCGCATTCTTAATTATAACTCTTACGCTTAATGACTTTTCTTTGATATTCTTGTTATAGGAATAAATAATATTATTTTGATTAAGTAATGATGTTTAATTACAAATTTCTTTTGTTTTATCTCATTGTAACTGTAATATGTAACAATTTTCATCTTATTTCATGCTTAATTTCCTCAATGTTTAACATATATTCAAGTTTAAAAACATAATTAGCTTCTAAACTTCATCTGAATTATTAAAAAAATCTTAACAATTGTGTTTTTTACCCGGAAATATGAGGAATTGTTGTGATCTCTACTACAAATTCTTCTATCATGTGGACAAAAAGAAATAAAAACTACTCCTAAGTTTAAAAACAATACGAATGTCTAAAAAATAAGACCACCTATTTGCAGAGAAGTGAGAAAAACATCGTGACACGTGGGATATCTATAATACGCTTTGCAATTGATTTAATTCGCCTTCCTTTAACTACATATTTTTTGACAATAAATGGATGTTAAATGAAGGTAAAAAAACTTACAAGAAAGTAATATGTTCTTAATTGTCTAGTATGTTTTTCTCTTACTAAGTAGTTTAAAGAAATTGATGCTATCATGTTCCTTAAAATACTCATTTTTTCCCAAATGCTTTGAAATTTTATTGGAATAACCGTTTTTGTGGACATTACGTGATGTTTAGTCAGTTGTACTAAATTGTACCTAAGCAAAAAAATTGTTACCTAAGCAAAAAAAAAATTATTATATTTACAAACTTTTTATAACGTAATTTCTATTTAGAACCACATAAAAA